TCTCTCTCTCTCTCTCTCTCTCTCTCTCTCTCTCTCTCTCTCCTGTTTGGTGGGAGTTTCTTTTTTTGGAAAATCTGGTTTAAGTTTAACTTCTCGGTGTTATGATTATGGGCAATGTTTCTTGATTCTTGATTCTTGTGGTCATGACCATTTTTTTTTTTTAGGTTGATCCTTTATGTTTAACTCACTATTGGGTGTAGCTCATCGTGGTTTGTGTTCTGGTTTTGCATGTTACCTGACTGGATTGATAAACCTTTTCTTGCATTCGTTGGTTTCAAGTATTTCTCACGCAGATGTTGTTATACCCATTATCAGACTATATAGTTTTGTTTGATCTTTTTTTCTATCATTGAAAAGAATTCGCTCTAATACAATCGTTTTTTTGCTTCTACAGTTGATTTTTCTAGGGAAAAAGTTTTTGGATTTTGGTTCTCTGAGTTTTGATTGAATTGTTATTACTTGTTCCTCTTTGCCACTGGCTAATAGGCTGAGCTTCCAAAGATTGTAATTTGTATTATTTTCAAGTGTTATTTGCCATGATCAGTCATTCTGTTTATCTTTTGTTGGGTAAAAGCAACATGGTTCTTACTCTGTTAAAGCAAGAACACTCTCTTTATGATAGAAATCCTTGCTCTTTAAGCAGTGCAGGTTTTGCATCATGGCATTTGTATTGTTTGTTTATGGTGAAGGCCTTGCTACCGAATTTCAGTAAACATGTATTCTCTTACCTTACTTCATACTCCCTTACGTTAATATGCTGCTATTCAAATATTAAAAAAGGGAAAAAATTTGGGCAAGAGACCTGTCGTTTTGTCTTTAGTTATTTCTCTTCTATTGCTACACTCTTGTCCTCCATCTGTATATGACCAATCCTCTCTGTTTCTCATCAGCCAAGATTGGGTAGGCAGCAAAAAGGTAACCTTAGGAAGTAGCCTCTTAACTCCACTAAAACATAATTTCTGCCTCTTGCTTTTGTTGCTGTATTCATTCCTTTGCTTTGTTTGTTACTCAGCAAAAGGAAAAAGAGAAACAAACAAAAGTATCTTCACCATTAATAAATAAGCTTTTCTGCTTCCCACATTATGTCTGTCCATCATCCTCCTTTGTCTTTCTCCTGCTTCAAAACAAAAAATGCAGATAATACTTCCGATGCCGAATACCCTCATTACTATGTAGTTGCTTTTCATCACTTCCTTTGCTTTTAGTTACTCCTTCGTTATTTTCTTTTTAAAGGATTATTTGTTCATTTGTTTGGTTACCTTAGGAGATGTTTTCTCGATAAGGTTAGCTCACGCAATAGTGCCACTAAGTACATCACATTCAATTGTTTTGAACTTGTCCAATTCAAAAGATAGTCAGAGTTAGACCATTTTTTTACAAAGTCAAATTATTCCAATTGCCTTTTCCTATCACAAGCTGTAGAGCTAATTCTTGAATCTGGAGTTTAAGAAGATTTGTAGATGGATTTGTCTATTGCACGCACTCATCCAAAAAACTTAAATTGGATAGCCAACAACCTACTGGCTATGTTTGAAAGTTTGGAAGAAACATTGATCCCATTGTATTGAGAATAACTTGTATGAGATGAAAACAAAATTCATACATATTCCCTAGATTTTCATGAAATAATTGTGAATCACCCTAGTTCAACAATTACCTCACCCAAGTATACAACACTTACATTACAGTCACCTGCAAGAGAGTGTGCAGATTAATGCATAGAGAGCTTGGTATGAGATTTGTAGTTTTCAATTTCTGGCTAATGCCTTTTGTGAGATGCTAATTATGAATATGTTGAAGCATGGCAGGGCATTATTTATTGAGCTTGGACATTTTGGCATATGAGTTATAATGCATCTGCATATTTATGAGCAACGCTTGAAATGCAAGATTAAAATCCATGATTTCAAGATAAAAAAATGTAGCAAAGAAAATCATTTCAGGACGAATATCTGATGTCTTGAATAATATATTATAGCCATTTAATTTCAGTAACAATGCTGACCATTGCTTGATAGTCTTATCTAGCACTAGATTGACCAATTGTCTGAACTCTTTTTACTTGTCTGAGAAATGAGGTGTGGCCCATCATGAGCATAATAGCCTGAGATAGAATAACAATGATCAGGGAACATTCCTGTTGTCATCAGTGTAAGTGTATGCGTGACGTGGGCTAAAGTGAGTCTGGAAAAAGTTCTGGTGGCCGATCCCTTTAAATATAATGATAATAAGTCTGAGTGCTTCCATTTTCCGTCAATTGAAATAACTTGTGTAGTTGTAAATTTTTTACATTAATTGCGCAAATGTCTCAAGGAAGGGAATAAATAACTATTCATAAGATGTCCACATTTATATATTTTCCACTTTTTTAGAATTTTATCTTTTTGTTTCTGTTTTGTGCTCTTATAGAAACACACTGAATGTAGTTACAAAGCTTGTTGGCTTTATTGATTGTATTTCTAGCAGAGGCAAATATAGGTTTTGTTTCTTCAGAAGAACTAAGAGAGGAGCCTTATTTATCGAATTGGCATAAGTGTCCCATTAATGAGATAGATGAGAAGAATCCTTCATTAAAAGACTTTTCAGTTTATTCGACTTCAGTGAAAATGCTTAAGTTACCTTTCAAGATATGGTCCTCCTCTCTGCAACCTTCTACAATACCGTGTGAGGACATTACAAACTGGTTTGGAATACCATTATCAAGAAGATTGATGAAGAGAGAGAGAGAGAGAGAGAGACCATTATCAAGAACAAAGATGGATAAGGTTTAGGAAACATATTGTTTCCTGTAAATTGTTTGAAGGGCTGTCAAATTTCAAACTTTTGTTTCTATCACAAGTTCATTTTTCTGTCGTGCAGGACAGTGGGAGCTATCCTTGCTGCAGTCATCCATAAAAGACTATGCAAAAAAGATGGCATTTTTGTCAATTAAACCCATAAATAAGTGCCATAGTTATTAAAAATTATAAGATAATAGTGATCACTATGAGACTTCTCAGGAGCATGTCCCATCAGTTAAAGAGATTATTGGACTCATGAATTGCAACTTCTAATTATTTTCCCAATTCTAGCATGTAGTCTGCCATATCTTGAGCTATTTTTGGTAAGTTGTTCAAAATACACCTAAAATTGAACTATTTAAATTTTTTCTCTAGGTTTATTTCGATAAATTTCAAAACCCATTGTGATGTGTCATTTGATGGGCTATTTAAAAGTTGATCAAAAAAAATGATTGACTATTTGAAAGTAGACCAAACAATATGGGTAAGTTGTTCAACAGTTCAAATCTCAGGTGTTGTTTGGTAATATCTCCTTTTCTCTTTGCAATATGATCCCAATAATGGAACCTGTTAGGGTGAGAACTGTTTCGATGTGTGTCATTCTTGTCTCTACCGGCAATACGTATCAAAAACCACATGGAAAAAATACAAAATAATTTGCTATCGAAAAAATTCAAAATAATATTCACAGGAGTAATCTACTGACCCCCATATGGAACCAATTTGAAAAAATGTTGCACTCCATGCTTAGTACAAACCTTCTCCTTTAAGAGAGAGCATTGCTAATAAAATTTTCTGGTTTTAGACTCGAAAACACTCGTTGATAGTGTGTACACTTAAGGGGTTTTATTTTGTCTGATTCTTGCAGATTGTTTTACAGTTACCATGAAATTGGCATAAAATTGTCATTCATAAGTTGATGTTATTCATAATCACAGTCTGTAGAACCTATGTGGTTTGCTTGCTTTTTGTTTTGCATTTGTTTTTGTTTTCCATGAGCCCTTTTCAGTAATTGTTTGTGACATATTCTTTAAGGCAGATTGAGGGATATCGGGGCTCTTCAGGGAACCAAGATGTGGAAACAGCACGAACAATGGCGCCTAGTTACATGTATATGGTTGCATGCTGGGGTTTTTCATCTAGTCGTTAATCTGTCAAGTATTATTTTCATCGGCATCCGTTTAGAGAAGGAGTTTGGACCATGTGAGTTTTGTTTAGTCACATAATTCTCTTTTTCTTTTTCCTGAACTAACTGGTCCCTGACTCTTATGTTGGTTATTGCATAGAAGTATATTATACCTTGATTTTATTTATAGCAATTATAAAAATTCCACTTGATAATTCTACTTCTTCTCCATGTTCAAGTAGGTTAGTGGCTCTTTTTGAACTTTGCTCCTCTATGCCTCCATATTTTTTGGGTATCTTGGTACAGCTGCACACTATAGACTTTTTAAAACATGCACTTGGATTCCCCCTGTAGAATGTTGATATTATACACACAGTAAATAATTTGGTAAAGAGTACGCTAGCTAAGTTTCTTCTTTTCGGCTTTTGTTGAGCAGTGAGGATTGCGATAATCTACACTCTCTCTGCTTGCTTTGGTAGCTTGGTTTCTGCACTCTTTGTCCAGAACTGCCCAGCAGTTGGGGCTTCAGCTCCCACGTTTGGATTGCTAGGAGCCATGCTTTCTGGTCTAATCCGAAACTGGTCAATATATGCTGATAAGGTCATTTACTTCATTGTTGTTTCCTATTCTGTGGTTTGTATTATGAGATTTTAACATGGCTAATTTTTTTCTTATTATGTTCCAGTTTCCAGCATTCATGGCTCTCTCATTCATCACTACAATCAATTTGTTTCTGGGGTTGCTACCTCATGTGGACAACTTTGCAAATATTGGAGGTTTTCTTTCTGGAATTCTCCTCGGTTTTATGCTTTTTACTGATCCCCAAGTTCGCCAGTTTGATGGAAAGATGGCCCCATATGATCATCATATGAAATCCTCTATCAAGTTTGAGCACAAATTGGATAAGCCAGCATTGCGGATAGTTTCTCTAGTCATATTCTTGCTTGGGTCAGTTTTTACACCTGCTTGAAAAAGTCAATTCCAAACAACTAATATTTACAAAACCAAATAGGTGTTATAGATGGGACTGGGTGCAAACAATCCCGTCTGTAAAGATTAACTTCCATTGGTTGAAAATGTGAAATTTGATTGGGTCCAAATTGGTTGAATAGAAATGGATGATAATGTGTTTTATGGAATTCTTCTATAATTAGGCTTCGCTCTGGTTCCACTTTCTAATTTTTCTTGTTTATAAAGAAAATAAAAAAAATGTAAGGAGAAGCAGTCCATATTAGTTGAATTACTATGAACAAGTCAGTTCAGCCAATTCTGGTTGAACCAGCTGGTTTTTTTATTTTTCTGCAGAAACCCCATTCTGTAAAGAGCTTGGCCTCCTTGGTTTGAAGACCATTCTGGTATTCAGACCATCACCATAGATTATAGTTATGAAAGGAAACATGTTGTATCTAAATTGAATTTTGGGCATATCCATCTCAAATTGGAGTCTTGCAATGCAGTCTTATAGGTGCCCTTCTATCAGGCGTTTATGGAATTAATGCAAACCAGTACTGCAGTTGGTGTCGCTATTTAAACTGTGTGCCAATAAAAAAGTGGAGCTGCAATGAGAAGGACTCTGCTTGTGAGGTACGTGAGAACTTGGAACTTGTTAAACAAAACAGTAGCATTTCCATAAGCTATTTGAATAGCCCAGTTGATTTTTGTTATTTTCTGTATATTTAAAATGGAATATGTGACCTTGAGTAAATGAAAAGGAAAAATATATATGATCCATATGATCAGGATAACAACATGAACATGTGGATTCACCATCCAATAAATGGCTTTGCAGTGGAGGGAGAATTGGACATACAGATGAATAATGATGTTTTTGGCGGGACTTGCTCCGTCCACCACTGTCCAAACCATGATGGGTTTAATAACTTTATGGTCAGGAACTCACGATGTTATTAGGAACCTATGGATCATATTATATGGGCTTAAATGAAAAAGGATAAATTTTGTGAGTATACACATTTTTCCGATTATCTACATCGACATTGGCATCTTCTTATTCAAAGAAAAAAGTATTTTTGTATTCAAATACCGGGCATTTCCGTTCGTTTTTTTTTTTTGAGAGGTCAGGTTTTTGTAAAAATGAAAAATTGACTTGTGGTTGTAAAAATTTCTACAACTCCTGCTTCTAAAACTCATTATACTTTTCAATGTATTAGTGTTTGAAAATTTGGGGACTTGGGCTCAAACTCGCCTGATTCATTCGGACCGAACAGGGTTCCTGGTCTGCTTGAAAACGCTGACCTTCGTCTCTCCAGGTCATGGACCTTAAAAGTGTTTTCTTCACAGAGACATGTTCAATTGAACCGCTGACTAGGGCTTGGGACTCCGAACATGAGTTTGTATGTATTTCCTTGCAAAATTTGTCATCACTAGTTTGTAGTTAGTGTTGTTTCCAAAGGTAGATGCAAATCCTTCTCTTCTTATCCCAATGGAAGTGTATACTGGCACTGTTCTGCTTTAACCATGACTGAAAGTTCAGTACATATAGCCTGCATGTTATTCACTACTAAACAATTTTGTTCATTTTATAAAACCAAAGTCAATCATCTCTAACTTCAAAACATTGAAAACATTATAAATTATGATGATTTCATTTGGTTCCTTATTGCAATGCATTTTCAAATGCTAAGCAAAACGAACTTTGGCTGACCACTCTGCTAGTTGGGCTAAGATCCCGGTTTAGCCTATTTAAGACTTACTTGCGTGATTATAATTATCCTTATTGATATCATAGTAAAAATAATATTTATGATGCATTTTCAAATGCTAAGCAAAACTAACTTTGGCTGACCACTCTGCTAGTTGGGCTAAGATCCCGGTTTAGCCTATTTAAGACTTATTTGCGTGATTATAATTATCCTTATTGATATCATAGTAAAAATAATATTTATGACGATGACCATGATGATGATGATTATAATTATGATTATGATTATGATGATAGTATGTTTCAGGCTTATGTGAGCAATGGGGAAGTGACTCTGACTTGTGACGTGGATGGTAAATTTCGAACATATCCATTTGCGCACATGTCAAAGGCAAGAATGAGAGACTTGTGCAATCATCTTTGTTCCTAACCTCGTTAACTATCTGAAATCCTTTTAAGGCTCTCTGAACCTCTCTCCACTCTTTTGTGATCACCACCTGCGAATGTTTAGAGAAGGATTTTGAATCATAGAAACACTACAATATTCCTTTTATAAAAGTATGTTTAATTACTGCACAACGGCCTGAGATATGTTCCATAAAATGAAAAATATGTTGGAACGTCTTGATGTTATATTCTGTCTTGTATAGCTAAAAGAAAGCCATTGTCAATGGAATTAATGAGAACTCAAATTATGATCAATATATAAAAAATGAAATGAGAAATCATAGAATAACTATCCCAAGGGTTGAGCCCATAAATTTTGTAGCTTAAACCAGTTAAGCTGGCTTTCTAAGCTAAACCAGAGTTAGTTACAGTTCATTTTTCCCCCATTTGGGTTCCAATTACAGTGGCAGTGTAGTAGAACAACAATTTGAAAGTAGGATTTTTTAGAATTCAGATTGATTTAGCCGTTGACAATCAAACAGGCACCCCAGCATATAGCTTACGTACTGCATGTACCAGGTAAGAGAAAAGATTGGCTTTATGTGTTGCAGAGAGAGAGAGAATGAGAGTCCAATAGTCAGCAATAGAAAATGGATTTAGTGAAAGTATACAATGCATAGTCAAAAGGGAAGTTGGGTTCGTAGGAAATCTCTTTCCAGAAGAAAGATTTCCTGCTGGACCATGCTTTCTCATGTTTGTTTTATGAGAATGTGGTGGTTGTGAAACCTCCCAAGCTTCATGGGGTGTACAAAATAGTGGTGTTTCATTGGAAAGCGACTTCATAGTGTGAGAGCTTTGAAGCCAATCTCCCATCTTGCCGGAATTCTCACTCACAGATGCAAATGTGCTCGTGGAAGTTAATGTGTGTTTGTTACTTGTTGATTGCTGGTATTGGTTTGGTTCGCACCCATTGTTGAGGAAATAACGGGTTGATGTGATGATATCACGTTTGTAATGTCAGAAGATAACGGCCGTAAGGAAATAACTGCTGTTATGCTCAAGATAAATTTTTTATCCAGCTCCAACCACATATAAATTATATGTGACCCCGCTTCTCAGATGGAATGGTTACTACTGTTCATATCCCCATGTCACACACTGCTTTATTTTTTATTTTTTTCTGCAAAATAGTTTTTGGATGAAATTTTGGCATCCCATAATAAAATTAGGGCGAACCTTGGAAAAATAAAAAATAAATATTTTCTATGGAAATAAATGATCAAAATGCCTGATATTTTTAGGGGTATTTTGGTAATAGTCCATCATTAAAAATATTTTATTATTATTTTTATCATGCCCACTGTGAGATCTATGCATGCCCCAATTTTTGCTTTAAAATGATTTATAAAATAAAAATAAAAAATAAAAAACTCTAAGCCGTCCGATGAAAATCTGGTGGTTAAAAGTCATGACATTGTGATTCAAGCCATCTTAGCCATCGACTTAGATCTGATCGCCGAGACTAAGGATCACATACACTATATATGTTGGCGGGGTCAAATGGAAATCCTTCCCCAGATAAAAGAGCCATAATTTGAAAAAGGGTTTTTTTTAGTTAGAGAAAGAGGTTTTTAATTGGCAAAAGTCAAATACTTTACTTGTTAAATTATTCCCCTCGACTCTCTGTATGTTCCATTATGATTATTATTGTTTTCTCTGTATTTTTTGGATGGGGAGTGTGGGGTTAAGGACCGATTGCCTTGATGAAACATGGCCACTGCTGTTAAAAACAAAAATGTTATGAGTCTGGTCGTTTATCTGATGGTGACTGGGCTGATTGCTTCCTAATATTGGGAATTAACCCTAATCTCTCTAATTTATTCAATACTCCATGTATTTTTTATGATTTAAAATTTAAATCATCAAAATCATTACAAAAATTATACAACCTTTCTGCTCATCTTTTCTTTTTTCTTTTTAATTTTAATTTCTTGTTGGATCTCCAGTTCGGTTGATCTGAAGTAGTCTAGGGGAGGGACAATATGGGTTTTTCAAAACACTGGTTAAAATTGTTTTCTACAACATGGATTGGAAATTGATTCAAACAAACAATATAATAAGCATGTAGGTAGGGTACATCACACATCGCCAATGTATTATTAAGCATGATGCACCATGGCTTTCCCCAGGCCATCCATGTATTATAGACAGTGGAGACTGTTTCCACGGAAATGTTCGTCATCATGCACAATCGTCAATCTCAACCATTCTTCAAGAGAAACCGACGGTGGATGCAGATGTGCTCTACCATGCGATGCCCGGTTGATGTACATTGTATTTTCATTATGGGTGCGGTTTGTATAAGGCAACAACTTATAAAAAGAAGGTTGCAATGCTTTACATCATGTTTTTTTTTTTTGGGACAGTGTAGATGTGACATATCTTTTATGACAATTTCAATACATGACACTACTTTTAAGATAATATTCAATTTACACCATTTAAATAAAATAGACGATGCATATTATTGTAACCTTACTTGTACAAGTAATATTGCAACCTTATATACTATTTTTTCCTTTCAATGTTCTAATTTTTTGTTTTTCGCTGGGTGTGGTTTGTATAAGGCGTTAATTTCAAAATAATCCAAATAAGGTGTAATTTTAAATAATCCAAATAAGGTGTGTCTCCAAATTGTGCCAAAAGATTGAGTTTAAGTGTTGAAACTCTTGTGATAGCCTAAAAATTTGTTTGTCTCCAAACATAAAATCTAAAGCTCTAAATATATTGCAGAACCAGTAGATCTATATAAACTTGAAATTTTTGAAAGTGGACAGTTCCGATAATGAATTACAAGAAGCACTTTTTTTAGGACCTGAAATCAACTTTTTATATATATATCTATACATTTTGGGGTTGAGATTATCAATTGGGTTTTAGTATTGAAACTAATTTTTTTGGTGGATTCTTGAAGTGCACCTTACTTTCTAAAATATAAGATTGACACCTTATATAAACTTTTTTCCTTTTTTTTATTTTAACTTTGGACCTTGATAAGCGCCATGGTACTGTACCAAAGTTGTTTACCTTAGGTCTAGAGATTCATTCCTAATTCCTATAGTCCCTATGAGGATCTTATTCTTCATCTGCTCTACGGTGGATTCCCAAATTTTAGGTTCACTTAGTACGCTGAGAGAGAAATTCTCCGTCTGCTCTACGGTGGATGTCGAAATTCGAGGCTCAGTTAGTACGCTGAGAGAGAATTCTCCGTCTGCTCTACGGTGGATTTCGAAATTCGAGGCTCAGTTAGTACTCTGTGAGAGAGAAAGAGAGGGGGAGGGCGGATTTGAAAAAGGCCAAAAGTTTACATAAGTATTCATTTTAGTTTTCGTTATTATGAAAATATTTAAAACTTTCCGTTATTATAAATATTTCCATTTTTTTAACTTCATAATAAGTTTTTGTAAAAAGATGAAATTATCCATTTTTAGTTTTCCAAAAACCAAATTGGATCTTATTTCAATTTTTAAAAAGCCAAAATAGCCCCATCTCAAAACTTCCACATTGAGAAACCAATCTATGAATCACTTTAGCAATGGCCTAAGTCTCCTAGACTTGAGCACGTCTTTGAGGTACTAGCAAAAGTGAAGCAATTTGAGGTCCACCCATTTTTTAGCATCAAAGACAAAAGCCGTAAAGCTTCAATGGGTCTATTGCTATGTGTGTAATTAATTCGCAGGGCCCATTGGAAAATAGCCACTTAGATAATTTCACTCAGTGATTTAAAAGTCGGCGAGCCGACCCGAAATCGCTCGGGTCGACACGGGAATCGGCTACTCCGTACCGATTCTTGCGTAATATCGAAAATCAGGCAAGTCTAGAGAGGAATCGTCGGTTCTCAGTGATTTGAAACAGTAAATCGGTCTAGACTCGTCGGTTCTCAGCGATTTGAAACAGTAAATCGGTATAGACTCGTCGGTTCTCGACGATTTGCAATAGTCAAATCGAGCGAGTGGATACGTGCCAGCCTCGAGGAGCAACACGTAGTACGAGGGACGACACAGACCCTGAATCGCCTGGGTCGACATGGGAATCAGCTACCCCGTGTCGATTCCTACGCAATATCGTAAATTGGGAGAGTCTAGAGAGGCATCGTCGGTTCTCGGTGATTTGCAATAGTAAATCGGTCTAGACTTGCCGGTTGTTGACGATTTGCAACAGTAAATCGGTCTAACTCGCCGGTTCTTGATGATTTGCAACAGTAAATTGGTCTAGACTCACCAGTTCTTGGTGATTTGCAACAGTAAATTGGTCTAGACTCACCGGTTCTTGGCAATTTGCTACAGTAAAATCGAGTGGGTGGACACGTGGCAGCCCCGAGGAGCAACACTTAGCACAAGGGACGGCAAGCCGACCTGGAATCACCTGGGTCGACACGGGAATCGGCTACCCCGTGCTGATTCCTCCTCAATATCGGAAATTGTGCGAGTTTAGAGAGGAATCGCCGATTCTTGGCGATTTTCAACAATAAATCGGTCTAGACTCACCGGTTCTCAATGATTTGCAACAGTAAAATCGGGTGAGTGGACATGTGGCAGCCCCAGGGAGCAACACGTAGCGTGAGGGACGGTACCGACCCGGAATCGGACGGGTCGACACGGGAATCGGCTACCCCTTGCCTATTCCAGCACAATATCGGAAATAGGGCAAGTCTAGAGAGGAATCCCTGGTTCTCACGCGATTTGAAATAGTAAATTGTTCTAAACTCGCGGGTTCTCGACAATTTGTAACAGTAAATCGGTCTAGACTCGCCGGTTCTCAGTGATTTGCATCAGTAAATCAGTCTAGATTCACCGATTCTCGATGATTAGCAACAGTAAAATCGGGTGAGTGGAAACGTGTCAGTCCCGGGGAGCAACACGTAGCACGAAGGACGGCGGGCTGATCCGGAATAGCCCGGGTCGACATGGGAATCGGCTACCCTGTGCCGATTCCTATGCAATATCGGAAATCGAGCGAGTCTAGAGAGGAATCACCAGTTCTCGGCTATTTGGAATAGTGAATCGATCTTGACTCGCCGGTTCCCGGCGATTTGCAACAGTAAATCGGTCTAGACTCGCCGGTTCTCGACGATTTGCCACAGTAACCTCACGCCTAGCAACACATAGCACGAGGGAAGATGGCTTACT